AATACAAATTCTAAATTGATATAATTTCATATATTTATTTAAATTAACGATTATAATTTATATAACTAAAAAAATATCTCTTAATTAATAATTTATTTGAAATAATTGATTGATAATTTTGAGTTCTCACTGCAATAGTTTAATTAATTTTGTAACCGTGGTTCCCACGAGTTATAAACTAGTATATAACGTACATAAGTTTCCAAAATATTATATTTCCTTAAATCTTATTTATTTATTTATTTTAAAATTTTTATACATTATTATTATTATTTGCTGTAATTTAAAATCATTATCATTATATTTTTTCTGGAATACCAATAATACCCCTCTTATATTTTACAACTTTCAAATTTTAAGAACAACACTAAAAGCTTGTTTGACCTTTCTCTACAGACATATGCTCTGTTCCTCGTTTGCTCCACCTTGCCCCTCATTCCAATTCTCTATCTCTCTCTCTCTTAAAGTCACTATATTGTTAAGGTATTTGGCTAAGCTTCTTAAAACAACCTATTAACTTATTAGAGGTTCCACACCGCTATAAGTTAAAAAAAATATTTGGATGAAAAATATCTTATTCCGATGAGGAACCTCTAATAAGTAATTTTTTTCATAAATTACCTCATACTTACTAATTAGCTTATAAGCTCATACTTACTAATTAGCTTATCTAATCTAATCTTAATAAAAGACTCTTTTAAGTTCCACGTGTCCCCCTTTTAAACGCATGTTTTTACACGTGGCAATTTCTCCAGCGTTGCTCAATTGTTTTCCCGCTATTTTTCTCATTAATGAAATGGACGATCATATCCCTATAAATCAACATTTCAATTTTGAATAGTTTATCTTATACCAAAATACTTGCAATAAATATGGAAACAAAAAACGTTTTCGACCAAAATTTGTAATCAATTAAACAATTAATCGACGTCGGCTTGTATCTTTCTTCCTCCTAAATCTCAAAGGATCAGAGCATCTCTCATATCCAACAAACATAAGTTGGTTTCTTTCCGTAAGAGTGCTTGCTATGGTTGCTTCTCTCAAAGCCGAGGTATAGATCACTACATGTTTGACAAGAACAATTGAAATGTCTTCCTTGCCCAACCCTTACGTAAGCAACCATCTAATCAATATGTATGTGAATTGCGGTTATTTAGATTATGCACGTAAGGTGTTCGACGAAATAGGTGACAAAACTATTTTGTTTTGGATGGATCTTATTTCCTATCAATCTATGTTTTGTGCCTTTTCAATTTAGAAATTTCAAAACCAAAAAAGGATTTTGGATTTAATCACGTGACAGTCGTCTGAAATCATATCTTTTTGTAGGGCTGTGATAAATTGATGTAGTGATCCTTTTTTTCTGATGGTTTTTCAATCACAATCCAATTTGGATGTCTATATTTATGCATGATGATGATTGTTTAATTATTCCAATTTAATTCAAGAATGGAATCACAATCCTCATACTTATTCTTAATGTTCGTTGTGATTAATTTCATGTCGATGTTATTTTCTTCCCAAATTGCATATTTTGTGTCAGTTTGATAATTCGTGAATGAATAACAAACCTCCTACTGATGACTGTTTGAGAAATTTGGTTTGTTTATTTGCTGTTAATTTTATGAAATTAAGATTAGAAGTGATGATTAAAGGCCCATTTGATCAAGTCGATTATAATGAGCTCAAATATTAAAGTTCTCTTTATAAGAGAGAATAAAAGCCAGACATATGATCCATCCTTTCCTTTAATTACTTTAGGTTTATTTTTTCAAGTCATTTTATTAGGTTATTGAGTTGCTCATTTTTGAATAATTAAAGTTGCAAATGTTCTATTTTTTTGTTAACATATTTTTAGAAACAATTTAATTGAAAAATAATCAACTCATCATTTAGTATGATAAGAGCTCTCGGTTATGTTGCACCTGTTATTGGGAGTTATTGTACAAAGATAAATGAATGATTATTTTCTTTGATTATAAAGGAACTAAATCGGTGCCTTTATTTAAAGTGTAATATTTATCATTTTTTGCATTAAAAGGGTAATTTCTGTACTTTATGTTTTTACAGAGTAAATTCTGCAATTTTCTTCATTTAAAAGATAACTTCTCTCATTATTTTTTTTTTCAATATGCATGACATGTATTTGCCTTATTTTGAAGATGATTTAGTCCATGATGCAGTTTGTTCATTATATAAATATGGTTTAACCCCTTTTATTCTAATTTATTTATTATACCAATGTACTATCAAATATATATTGAACATACATTGTTATATTTTATAATAATGGAAAATTTTATAAAGTAAATTACTATTTTACCCCTTCCAATTTTCCAATATAATTTGATTTTTTTGCTAATAACATAAATGCACTTTATGTTTCGCATTTGATAGGGGTAAAATGGTCATTTTTATGAAACCAATGTTTTAGTGGTAAAACTAGGACAAGAACCGATATAATTTGTTTTTTCCTAATAAGTTACCAACTATGGGAAAAGAGGTCAATGTGACATGCTATAGTAGGTATACAACATGTATTAGTTTTTTTTTTCCTTTGTTACAAATTTAGCCTAATTTCTTTTACAAATTTCACCCAAGTTTTTTTTGCTGTTTTTTACATATTTTTTTTTATAATACTTAGTCTTTTTTACAATATCATTTTTTTAGAAGATTATTTTTACAACCTTTTTTTTTTGCAAAATTACATTTTTTACAAATTTTTATCCAAATCGTTTTAGAATTTTTTTACAACTTCGTTTTGTGACAAAAACTAAAATTGAAGTCAAAATTACAAAAACTAAAATTGATTATAGCAAAGTCATATGGACCAATTCAGGACAAATTTCATGGTTGTTTACCTCTCAGTGTAATGCGTATGCAAAGTAGTATATTTTAGAGACATTTGGTATTGTCTATTGACCAAATTTAGTATTAACCATAAGTTTATTGGTCAAATGTGTATAAAATGGAAAATTAGTAAATTTGGATAATTGCAAAAGCTTGTTGCTCTCACAAGTTTATTGGGCAGTGAAAACCAGAAAAACTTTAATTATTAATCATAATGATATTTTTTAATCATTTTATGTAAGTTTATTGTTATATGTGCATAAAAAAAATTATCTAGATATATCAATTTCAAAACTTGTTTATCATCACAATTCATTATCCCTTGCTAAATTTAACAAATAGACCATTCAATAATCTAATTCAAATGGCCATTTCAATGAAGACAAAAAAAAATAATAATAATAAGGATTTAAGGACAAAAATCATAAGAAATTTATAATACAAGAAAACAATATAATACAAAAGAAGAACAAATTAAATATAACTCACCTTTAAATATTTATGGATTTATTCATATACAACTCCATGACCCTTATTATTCAATAATTTAATTAGTTTCTATTGGTCATTTTCATAAATATATGACAGGCAGACCATATAAACATACAAAAATGTAATAAATGGGGATTTAAACACAAAATAAGGATAAAATTTATATTGCAAGAAAATAAATATAGTACTCTAAAATATTTGTGGATTTATTCATATATGATAATAGAGGTGATGTATAAAATTTTGAAATTAAGAGACCAAATCTGCAAATGTGTAAATATAAAAAGCGAGAGAGATAAAAATAAAGGGAAAGTAGTGGGTGTTTGAGAGTGTTTTTCAAATTAACTTATTATTTTATTGGCTTTTCAAAAAACCAAAAACCTATAAAAGTATTTTAAAACGATTTTAGGCTAGGCAAAAATCCAAAAATTCAAAATGACTTGGTGACTTTTTGGTTATTTTAACTTTAAAAAAGTTAAGCCCAACATTTTTTACAACCAATTTATAGACTTTATTTTCCATCACAAAAGCTAACTTAAATATTTTTAAAAAAGTAAACAAATTTTACAACCACTTTTTAGTTTTTCCACAACAAAAATTAACCTAGAATATTTTTTAAAAACTCTTTTTTTAAAAGCTATAAGTTAAGGCTTTTCCAAAAAGTGCTCCAAATACAGCCATAATACCTTAATACGATGTTGCTAATAAGATGCCCCTTAAATATCCTATTGATCACTTTTTAATCAACAAATAATTAATTATTTATAATCAATTTTTTTTTAAAACAATCAATAAAAATATTTAAAAAATTAATTAAGGTATCATAGGTCTTTTTCGCCGATCTCAACCGCCATTCCAATTTTCTGCACACCGCCGGTAAACTCTTGTCTGTCACTGGTCGATAACAGAGTCTCGCACAACACATCAGGCAATCTCAAATCTCCTCTCAAAAGTCCGCCGTTTTTCTCTACTTCTCTCCGTATATGTTTATATGCTAGTTGTACGAATGTGTTGATCTTATACAAGGACAACGCATTCTTCAGGAAATCAAGCATCCCCCCCTTTATTTATATGGAAGTTGAGTTTTGGTTATCATGCTTACTTGATTAATCGACCGAGTTCGTAACTTTTATTTTAAGTGTTCCTGTTAATTAGTCGATTTAATATGGTTAGTAATATTCGGAGGAGTGAATCAAAGAACTACCAAGCTGTATAGCATTTCAATGAGCTTTACCCTGACAATAATGCTAGGGTTTGTATTTATATTATATTAGAGATATCAGTTTAGGTTAACAAAATATGATATTTTATGTACCTTCATTGCTGATTTGCAATCTGTGGTCAAACGGATAGATGTATCTAGGAATTATAATCACCATATCCATGAATTGAAGCTTATCATTAGCGCATAACTCAAAGATTACCCTGCATGCATCATTTCATTTGCAGTAAATTGAAGGTTGTTTATATCAGTTTTAGGACCCAAAAATTCCTGATTTGACACTAACTCTGTAAGGTTATGGATATGGCTTATGGCTCAGCTTGCTCCCTCTGTTTTAAAGCCATTATTATCCAATTAAACTGTTTTTTGTTTATGTTTTCAGTTTACTTGATTTTGAAGAAGCTGAAACTTGACATTTTGTCCATAGGCTGTGGTTATGAAATCAAAGAGGCTAACTATGAGTGAACACAAAGGCCATGAGCAAGTTGAACATGTAGACGATATGGTTGAGTATATCAGCAATCTACCAGATTGTATTCTTCATCACATTCTCTCGTTTATGGACACCCAAGAAGTTGTAAAGACATCCATATTATCTACAAGATGGAAGAACCTGTGGACTTCAATCCCCAACATTTATTTTGATGATGACTTGTGTCCTGAGGTGACTTCCTTCAAGAACTTCGTGGAAGGAGTGCTTCGGTCACGGGATTCATCAGATATAATAAAGTTTTCTCTATCATGTTGTGTTTTCTGTGATGCATCTCAAATACATTCATGGATTTCTTATGCAATCATGCACAATGTTAAGGAGCTTGATCTTTGTCTAATGGAAGTAGATCCATTTATGATTCCTTCGTGTATGTTTAACAGCAGATCATTGGAGATCCTGAATATACAGATGCATTGGGTTGAACTCCCGTCTCATATTTCTCTTCCTTGCCTGAAAACCTTGCACCTATCTATTTTCGAGTTCCTGGATGATGATTATGCAGAAAAGCTTTTCTCAGGTTGTCCAGTTTTAGAAAATTTGGTTTTATCAGATTGCATGTGGATGTCTTTGGAGAACATTGTTATTTCCAATCCCTCCTTAAAAAGTTTGATTATAAATGACAAGTCATTGTTTGGTCCACTTGATGATTTTGGTGGGTGTAAGATCAAGATTGATGCAGAAAATCTTACAAATTTTGAATACACGGGATATCTATCGAACGAAATTTTATTGAATAATACATCGAATCTAGTCAAAGCTTGCATTCACGTTTCTCCTCCTCCTATATGGTAAAAGGAAGTTGTGTGTCGAGCTGTTGAGCTACTGAAACAGCTACAAAATGTCATGTCTTTGAGGTTATCTAATTGCACTATGGAGGTAATTCGCAATTTAATTACACAAATGTTACCTGTGTTTTTTTTACATATTAAATGGCTTATATATATATAATAATAATTCACGTGAGTCCTTCCATGCATACTGACTTTTGTGTTTGTGTGTTTTCTTTTCCACGTGAAGTCTCTTATATATACAGACAACATGGCACTCCATTTTCCGGTTTTCCCAAATTTGATCCATTTAGTGTTGACCAAGGAAATCAAGAATTAGTATACTTTCAGAGCACTGATGGATTCGCTTTACTTATGTCCAAATCTACAATCTCTTGATCTCTCTCAGGTAGATTACTCATTTTGTACTCAAAATCAAAACATCACGTCAACGATCATGATATTAACGTATTATTTATTTATTTTAATACAGGGATTCAAACAGTGCTTGGACCTTGGTGAGGAAGATAGAATCTGGTTATTAGTACCTAATATGCATGACGAATTGCCTCAAGATTGTGACTTTCAAGAACTTTCATGCTACTGATTCAGAAATATGTTTTCTCAAACGTGTTTTGAAGTATGCAACTGTTTTGGAGAGGATGAACATTTGTTGGTCTAAGACTCAGGTAGGAGATCTAAAGAAGCAAATAGATGTCATAAAGGAATTTGATAAGATCGAAAGTAGCTCTAAAGCTTGTGTTGTCAAGTTCTCATGAAGTATTAAGAAACCCGTATTTACTTCTATTTCTTTTTTAATATTTCTTTACCATCTTCACAATGTACAATATAGCGTTATAATGACCTTTTAGCACATAGAGGCATAAGCAGGAATTTAGTGGAAATCGTTCTTTTTTATGTACAAACTAGGGGATGCATATGTTGTGACGTTGCTACCGAAAATTTAGGTTTAAAGTTTAAAAAATGTAAAATAACTTGTAAAATTGTATTTTCAAAAAGAAATAAGTTTTAGAAAACATATAAAAGACATTGTTAAAAAAGTTGGAGAAAGTTTTCAAAAAAGTTTGAACCAAATTCGTAATAAATTCAAAAGTTTTGCCAAAACTGTAAAATGTAAAAGTAGATGGTGACCAAATTCATAATAAAAGTTAAAAGTTGGGTCAACGTAATAAAAAATGAAACCTTGACAAAAACTGTAAAAAAGTAAAGTAGCATGGAGAACAAGTTGGTATTGAAAAAAATTAAATGTATGGGTTATTAGTAAAAAAATATGGGAATAAAAAAATTTGTAGTTATTAGTAGGGGTATTCATGGTCCGGTTTTTTCGGTTTTTATATCAAACCGTAGCCAAACCGTTAGTAACGGTTTCTATCAATCATAAAATGAAGCCGAACCATTGAAAATCTACACCGAACCAAACCGAACCGTTACTAACGGTTTGGTTCCGGTTTGGTTTCACGGTTTGGGCTTTATATATATATATATATATATATATATATATATATATATATATATATATATATATATATATATATACACACACGTATAACTATATAAAAATACTTAGTTTTAATCAAATTAATTAAACATTTAATCCAACATATTTACATATATATATAAATATATCGTCTATTAAATACAAAAAAAACTCTTTAACGACTGAAGACAGATTCTAAAACCCATACCATGTATGCACATCTTATATTCAAAGAGCATATACTGTGATATCATCTTGCCTAAAAAAACAAATATCATTAGTTGGTAATTATGAAAAAGAAAAATCATAAATGGATGATTGCAAATGAAGCAGGTCAATGTCTAAAATAATGTTTAACACTTCACTGTTAGACACGATGAAGCATAATAATAGTATAATACTATTTTTATTAATATAATGCTTCTTTTTACAAACGATGGAGCATAAAATTATATATAATTACATATAAAAAATTAGTTTTTATCTATAAATCATACGGTCCGGTCCGGTTTTTTACGGATTAAAAATTTTGAAACCATAAGCCAAACCGTTCATTACGGTTTCGAAAGTTTGAAGCCGCAAGTCAAACCGTAAAGAAAAATACAAACCGCGAAACCAAACCAATGCCCGGTTTGGCCGGTTTCACGGTTTCAAACCGAACCGTGAACACCCCTAGTTATTAGTAACCAAAACATAAAGTGAAGACCATAGGAGCAAATCATCATATCTATATCATCTTATTGGCCACGTAGACGCCATGTTGATTTGCCTAGTTGGCAGGGAATGAAGTTGGGGAAACTCGCTATAGGTCACATTGTTATAATCTAAACATTTTCTACTGGTTTAGTACTGATATGGTGCTAGTAGTTGCTAGTGGCCAATTTAATACATACAAAATAATTGCTTACCCGTTATTGATATTATTCCTTTCTTGTCCACCAACATAATTCCCCGTTTTTAATTCCTTTCAAAATCAGAACTTATCCCAAACAACAATATTAACAACTTAATCGAATTTGCCTAAAAAAAAGCTTTTTACCAAGAAACAACAATGTACTTTATAGCTTCAGCCAAATTTTCTCACATATGTTATAAGCATGCATTGCGTCTTCCTATATGCCATTTTATCTTCTTGTTAGTACTCATTATTATTAGAAAAAACTACACGAAGTGTCCCTGTGGTTGGCAAAAGGAAACCACTACAAGTCCTTATGAAGATTTTTTTAGCATGGCTAGTCCTTGATGTTTTGAAATCTTGCATCAAAGGTCGTTTTATCTAACCACAATCTTTTTGGCCGTTAACCCCATACGCATGCCCCTCTCCTCATGTGATGGCTTTTTCGTCGTTTCCATCTTCATTACCAAACTTTGTCGTGAGAAAAGGAACCCTGATGCAAGATCTCAAAACCTCAAAGATCAACCATTTTAAAAAATCTGCATACAAACTTGCAGTGGTATTTTTTGTCAACAAGGCCATTCGTGTACTTTTGTTGTGTTACTAATATAAAAGGCTCACTAGGTTTTCAAGCTCACTTTCTCTGCATGTGTGATATTCATCGTAGGTATAAAGACAAGGTTACAGTGTAGTGCTAGTACGAAATACTAAAGGAGAAGAACAAGTTTTGAATACCAACATGTAGATGCCCCATTTCATGGCTGATAACGCTTGATGTTATGTCTAGATTTGATGTGCAACTTTATTGCATTTGGGTTGTAAGTGCACTTTTTTGTGGATGATATACGAATGAATTTCCGAAACTATACAGTTGAACCTCTCTTTGTATGTTGTATGCACAAGTATATATAGTAGTGGAAATAAAGAGAGGGGTCAATAGCGCAGCTCACTAATTTAGAGGTTCTAAGCAAACCAAACCAAAAGATTGAGGCCTTTAAGTTAACAAAGGCTTTTGAACTTGAAACCTTTAATTTTATAAATTGGTGCTTTTACCACCAAGCCAAGCTTCAACTTGTCTTTATATCCCAAAAATACGTATACATATATATAACAAAATAAACTTTGAAATTGGGGGCCTAACCCTTGCTTTGTTTTTCATAATGTAGAGCCGGCCCTACTGATAAAGTATCATTATGATGCTAGTATATACCCATTTAATTATCATTTAGGTTACCCCACTAAAAACTAAGAGTAAACTACAAAAATAGTCTAGGTGGTTTGTAATTTTCTTCCAAAAAAAAGTTTTATAACTTGCAAATATCGTCATGTTGACAAGATTTGTAATTTTCTTTGGTGGGAGTCACCAAAAGAAAATCACAAAACCATACGGATCATTTTTGCATTTTACTCAAAATCTAATAAAGTATTTTGTTAAGTGAGATTGTGATTTCTGTTAAATTAAAGATGTATGGTTGATACAAGTTAACTTAAGGACTAAGGTGCAATTATTCGAACATTTTACAATTTAATGATTGATGAAACTGGTAATATCCTTGCATAATCGGTCTACTTGTACAAAAATGATAATCTATGAAAGAGGTTGATAAGATAGGGGTGTAATGAAGTTAAGCATAGACATTATTACTTTCGTTGCTTCATGAACATGAACATGGCGGTTTGCCTTTTTTAATTTTTTTTTAATTTAAATTTTACTTTTTGTATTGTCTTTTGGGTGGACGGTATGCTTTATTCTCATCCATTCCATGTTGGTACATGTCCTTGAAAACACACACAACACATACTACTCAAAACTCACGATGTGCACTGAAGGTGTTTTTGTTGGAGTTACTTTAATTAAATCAGAGATATGCCTTATATAGACTTACAAACTAGCAACAGATAAGCAATCGTGGCAACATAAAACAAACAATGTAATACTATCTACTAAGCCATTGCTACCTAAAGAACTGGTACAAGGATTGATCCATATTCTTAAACCCAATGTGCCCATTAAGAATTAGTCAATTAACCTTATCCTACATTTCCTTATTCAAATTGTGCATAAAGAAAATTATGGACCCAATTACCCTTAAACAACTGATAGTTAGTTTTGTTTACTTCTTTTTATAGTTTATTTTAGTATATTTCATTCATAATTTAGATAATTTCTATGCATATTTTCCTTTTTGTTATTTTATGACTATTTCGGGTACTTCCGAATCTTGTGAGCATAATTGCAGGTTTCGGGTCTAGCGGAGTGGGAGTGTTCGGGATGTATGGGAAGCGATGAGATTTGGTAGACAAAAAGGATGTTAGGCTTGGTGATTGTGGAGATGATGCATGGAGCGAGCTTGATGATTATTGGAAGGCTTGGAGAGAAATAAATTTTAAATTTGCAAGATGCGGGAGTTTATTCAAGCGTGCGTAGATTGTTAATCGGGAGAGTGCACGAGCTTTGGAGGATTTGGAGAGGTCAAATTGGGCTTAAAATGAAGAAAACTTGAAGAAAATGGGTTAGGAGGTGATTGGATTCGATCTGGGCCAAGTGGGATAAGCTATGGAGGCCTAAAACCTCAAAGATGCTACATCCAGGGACCACCCGCCCAACAGCACGCGGGTTGCGCAACCTCCT